ACGTGGTGACGTCCCCTTCGAAAGCCCATGGGCCAGCATGTCTTCGCCAAGCTGCCTATTTAACCTTCCCTAGTGGTCTGATTATCTCAGTATTTCTGTGCTCAAAGCGGTAAATTTTTTTGCATGGAAATATGTATTTTTTTTACTGTAGGCCTGTAATTTTTAGGAATAACTCACTGAAATCTGTCTGAACAAGAGTCTAGTAAACATCCCGGGTATGATAAAATCTGAAACACGAAATCATAAATTATAATTTAATAATCATAGAAAATAATAATATAATAATAATAATAAATTTAATTCAATAATATAATCAAACCAAAAACACTGAAATTTTGAAATATAGTCCCAAGTTCACACATCAAACTGAGCAAAGTCGCAAAATCGTTTTCAGTGTCTGATAACAAATTTCCCCACGAATCATTATCACTCAATTCTGCAAGTTCTAATTTACTATCGCTGTTCTCTAGCTGGTCTAAAACAGCTTTTGACCTAAAGGGATGCTTTTTGGACACCATGGACATTTCTCAGTTTCAAGACAGAAAGAAAATGCAGTAAAAATGCAGGCAGGGCACAGGACAAAGCACAAGGGACAAAATGTATGTGAAATGATTTGATACAGTAATGTTTTTACTATGTGATTTTAGTGTATTTAATGAATGTCACTTTTGGACATTTTTTAAATTTCCCACCAGTTATTTCCCCGTACATCCTGACGTCGCAGGGAACGAAACCCGGAAGAGAGATGCTGGACAGAGGACATTGCTGGGGATGCTGCAGGGGGGACATTGCGGGAACGCAGGACAAGGTAAGTGATCGAGGGATCCCGGAGCAACGCTGCAAGGTATTCCCGAGTGTAGCTCAGGGTTACCATTTGAGGAATACCGCCGGGGGGATAAAGGAGACTCTGTTGTGTACTAATCGCTGAATGTTCTTCAGCTTCTTGTGACCCATGTTCCTGTTTGTACTGACTGATCTTCCATTGCTGACCTTGCTCTGTGGATTCTGGATCCAGACTTCGGCTTGCCTCAGACTACTGTTTGCCTGATCTCCTAGTGCTGACCTCGGCTTGAATTTCATTATTCTCTGCCTGATCTCCTGGTGTTGACCTTGGCTTGTTACTGGAACTTTCTCTTGTTGCTAACCTGGTGCTGACCCCAGTGTGCCTCCTGACCATGCTGTGTCTCACTGTGTATGGCCCTGGCTCACCTCGACTAAGTCCCTGATTATGGCAGTCATCTGCTATCAAGCTACCGCTACTCATGCTTCTTTGAGTCTTGTACCTCCGTCACCACAGTCAGGGGTACTCGGACCAGAGCCACAAGGGAAGCCATCTTGTCTTCAACCAAGGTACTTGACAACCAGACAGATTCTAATTGGTCAGCCCTGTCACAATTCTATTGCACACTGAAAGCATACAAATTGTAAAGCAGTGTTGGGTACATTTTGGTACTCCCATGGCAAAGATCAAGGCATAAGGGAATAATGGGGTCTTCTGCAACCTCCTTAGAAAAAAGAGATGGACCATTCCAAACATTGTCTAACCTTTTAAACTGCATAAGGGGCAGTTTCCAATTTCTCTTATTTATAGTATATTATTTTCTGCAGAGATACAGGAACCGTTTTTTTAGAAAAAAAGAAGAGGCATAATCTGGCATAGGTAGGTTCTCTTCCTATGTTTGTTACAGGAAATGTATTGCACTAGATAATGAATTTGTTTTTACTTTACACCTTGGTATATTCATACTTGAAGCCTGCATGTTGATATGGCATTAATTAATTATAAATAAGTTGATATCACATAGTATAAGAAACACTGAGTGTTTGTAGAAGCTGGCAGCCTTGGAGATGAGTGTGGATGTGCTGGGGCAGGAGGAATCCTACACCAGGCCCTTCTGCAGTTACCCAGGCCATTACAGTTTACTTCTACCTTTCCTTTCTTGATCCATAAAGGTAATTTCAATTTGCCAAAGTTGAAAACTTTTTGGAAATCCAAAACATGCAAAACCCTCTTAAAATAATGAGAATGCGACTCACCAGTAAAATAGGAGCAAATTATTCTATATCTATAAATTCTGAGTGCAGTGGTGGAGCTGGAAAACATGATAGTCATTGCATATATTATTATTAGCTTCCTCATTACCCTTTAGGATTTCTAATCCCATTCCTGTGCTCAATGAAGTGTGCTTTTAATTATCTAGTAATCTAACCAACACAGAGGTTTCTGCAGGTTCATTTTAAAATGGACGCAAATGCCAGTCTGACCAGTGAATCACCGTTTAATATTGAATGGAGGAGAGCATTACTTTTTGACTCATCGATTTTTACCAAGTAAAATCAGCAGACTTTTCTTCAGCCTTTTAGACACTGGTACAATGTTAAAACTTTCCTTGTTTGTCCTTGGTGTATCCTTGTAGTTAAGCGCTCTTTGTAAATACATAGCAAGAAACATCATCAAACTTCCCCTGTTGAAAGCGTCTCGATGCCCTTCGTTGCTTGACTGCACATCTCAAGCTCATCATCATCAAGTCTCATCAAAACTCAGAGGAACTGTGAATAAAAATTCAGCCTTGTTAATTGATGATTTTCAATCATGATGATTAGTGACAAGCAAAATCATATCTTTTAGCGTACCTTTATCATAAAGATATTGCAACCTATTGTTTTTGTTTTCTACTTAAATGTTAAAAAAAGACAGTTTTGGAAATGTTGGTTTGCTTTTCTAAAATAGCATGTAAAATACATTTATCTAGGACTGAGGGTCCAGCTCTCTTTTCTGGGTTCCTGCCATTATACTGCATATACATTTGTAAAATAGATTAACTAGTTCAGCTCCTTGGACATATTGGTGTTGATTTACTAAATCTAGAGTGTGCAAAATCTGGTACAGCTGTGCATGGTAGCCAAGCATGGTAGCCAAGCTTGTTCAATTAACCAATAGGCGCCCGGCCAATAGCCGTTTGGCATCCGGGAAAAGGATGTAGATTTCCGGGTGGACGCCATATGGTGTCCTCCCTCACATGCACAGTTTTTTTTGCGCTTGCAGAGCCTCGCAGCGGTGCGATCTGTCACCGGCCATGTACCTCGGACATGGCCGATTACAGATCTGAGTGCCGGCCCCCTGGCGGTACCATGTGACCTGCTGTAACCAATCACAGCAGGTCACATGACAGTTGTATACAATGGATGGCTTAATTCATGCCATCCATTGTATACTAGTGTCTAGCTGTGAATGGTCACAGCGATCACATGCACATGTCATGTGATTAGCTGTGGCCAAATCATAGCCAAGCACAAAAAAAAAAACAAAAACCCTGAATGAATCGATGTCATTTAGGTAAATGCTTGCTTATAGCAAAGTAATTCTTTGCTATAAGCAAATTGTGTAAAAATAAAAAAATAAATACTGATCACTTCCCCAAAGTAGTACAATGTTACTATGGTAACATTGTACTACTTTGGACATAGTGAAATATGAAAAAAAAATCTTAAAAAAAAGAAAAAAAATGTAATAAAAAATTAAAATATAACAAATTTTAAAAAAATTTAAAAATTTTTTTTTTTTTCATACTGTCACCAGTCAGTGTCCCTGATCACCCCCATGCCAGTTATATGATGACGCTGTACTGCACTGGTGACAGTATGTAAAAAACATATAGTGAAAATAATTTTTTTAATTTTTAAATTTTCTGAAAAATGACAAAAAAAATACAACTTCAAAAAACTCGTCATGCCTCTTATGAAGTACGTCAGACTGTCTACTTTGCAAAAAGGGGTCATTTGGGGGATATCTGTTTTGTTCTGACATTCTTGGACCTCAAGAAATTAGATTGGCTGTCAGTACTTCAGGATTTATCAATATTCAGATCTATACCATAGTTTGTGAACTCTATAACTTTCCTACAAACTAAATAATACATCCTAATTTGGGTTATTTTCACCAAAGACATGTAGTAGATTACATCTTGGCCTACATTTATGAAGAACAATTATTTATTTGCAAACGTTTATAACAAAAACAAAGAAAAACGTGTTTTTTTTAAAAAAAAATTCGGTCATTTTTTGTTAATTTAGCAAAAAATAAAAACCCCGGTGGTGATTAAATACCACCAAAAGAAATCTCTAGTTGTGTGAAGAAAATGATAAAATTTTAGTTTGGGTACTGTGTTGTATGACCGTGCAATTGTCATTCAAAGTGTGAGAGCGCTGAGACCTGAAAAATGGCCTGGGCAGGAAGGTGTAAAAATGCCCGGTATGGAAATGGTTAAGCTTTGGCAAAAAAGAAAGGAAACTGGTTTCTATGCAAAGCTGCACCATATTTTGTAAATCACCAGATTTTTAGTAAATCAACCCCACTATGTACATCCAAAGAGTGAAGGGTTAAGCACAAGCTGATGGAAGCAGTAGTGCAATCACCGTGTCCCCATTTCCCTCAGCCAACTCCTGGCTGTAAAGTCAAAGTGATCTGACGGCTGTATAGTCGCTGAACCCTTTCACATAGAGGATGGCATGCTCACCCTCACCGGACCTGCTCTCTCACATGGTTCCTGGGCTCTCCTGCTCTTACTGAGAACCTAGGACTACATCAGTGGGCTTCAAAATGGCAGCCAGAAGGAGACAGAGAAATACCCATTCTTCCATCTCCTCTGCCCAGAATGAAAGTGAGGATGACTTCCGGTCACCTGCCCATTGCTATTATATGGGCTTTGTTAACCCCTTGTGACAGCAATAAAGTTAAATAAAATAAAGATAAAAAATAAAATTATAATAAAATGTATTTAAAAAAAAAAAAAATTCAAACATAACCCCCACGATCGCACCACACATGTAAGGTATCAACACTAATGTTACAGCTGGGGCAATAAGTATAGCACCGGAACTCACAGTTAACTCTAAACTGATGATCTATAAATGTTTTTAACTGCTTCCCGTCCGCCCTATAGCAGATATACTGCTACAAGGTGGCACGGGTGCGCAAAATCACATACAGTAAATATACGTGATTTTGCATTTCTGGGTAGGGGGCGTGAGCGCCCTACCCGCGCCACCATTCATGGCCATGGCTGTCAATCATCGGGTCCCAGACGGTGATTACTAGCCAGAGCCCGGTGATTACCAAGGATCCCTGACAGGAGGGGAAAACTGTAAACAAAACAGTCTCCTCCCTGTCAGCTCGTGCACACTGCTTTGTATGACTGTGCACAGTGAAGCACAAACACACAGCCCCATAGTAAAACACACCCAGCTCACAGTTAACCCTTTGATCGCCCCACATGTTAACCCCTTCCTGCCCAGAGCCATTAGTACAGTGTCAGTGCTTTTTATTAGCACTGATCACTGTACTGGTGTCACTGGGGATGACATTGATACCATGTCAGTTCCCCCAGTGTCAGAATGCCCGCCGCAGTCTCACTATATGTCACTGATCACCGCCTTTACTAGTAAAAATGTAAAAAAAAAATCCCAGTATATATACCGCATTTTGTAAACACTATAACTTTCAAGTAAAGCAAAGACATGCAGCAGAATACATTTTGGCCTAAATTTATGATGAAATTTGATTTTTTAATTTTTTTACTGGACATGTTTAATAGCAAAAATTGTCTCTTTTTTTATAGCACAAAAAATAAAAAACCACACAGGCGATCAAATATCACCAAAAGAAAGATCAATTTGTGGAAAAAAAGAACATAAATTTCATGGTTGGTGAGGTGGATGAGTCTCGCCGCTGAGTTCAGGATCGACTGGAGTGGGGATAGTGTTCGTTTGGGTAGGCCAGTGAGAAGGGAATTGCAATAGTCCAGGCGTGAGATGATGAGGGAGTGTACGAGTTGTTTGGTGGTGTCTGGGGAGAGGAATGTGCATATCTTGGAGATGTTGCGGAGGTGGAGCCTGCAAGATGTAGATAGCAGTTGGATGTGGGGTAAGAAGGAGAGGTGGGAGTCCAGGGTGACACCATTAAACTTCATTAGAGGCATTTGTGGTACGGTTTTAATGCTTGGCAAACGCCTATCAAACACCTCAAAAACATGCATAGGGCGTTTGGCGAGCATTTGGGTAGCGTTTGGGAAGCGAAGAAAGAACAGAGGGCGCACAGGCCTAGTGCATTACCATAAAAAACGTTTAATAAGAAATAAAGTAGGTGTTGTACTCACAAACGACAATAAAGTCAAGACACGTCATAAAAGAACAGCTGGGTCAACACCGTGCTGAGCAACAGTCCGCAATAGGGAGTGTTGACATCCAATAGGCTGACGCGTTTCAAGGACTTGCCTCTTCCTCAGAGCGAGGCGTTTGCGGAGCGTTAATACCATTAAACTTCATTATAGGCATTTGTGGTGTGGTTTTAATGCTTGGCAAACGCCTATCAAACGCCTCAAAAACGTGCATAGGGCGTTTGGGGAGCATTTGGGTAGTGTTTGAGGAACGTTAAAAATGCTTCCTAAACACTTGTCTAACACCTCTCCAACTCTATAGGGACGTTTGGCAAGAGTTAGAAATAAGTCAAGTGTGAACGAGCCCTAATTCTTGTGGTGGCTGCAAAGCCATGTGCCTTTGAAGCTTAAGTTAGTTGGTATGAACACAACTCAACCTTATGTTTTTACTGCCCTCCCAGCCACAAATGTAAAGGAGCCCTAGGAGTACACTCTTTCTAAATGGGCCTCTTTGTTTAACCCCTTCATGCCAGATCGTCCCGGCTTGAAGAGGAGTTCCTGCACAGGGAGGTGGGCGGGGCTTAGTGTCATGTGGCCGCCGTGACGTCACGGCCGGTCACATGATCGGGAAAGGTCCCGATTGAAAGAGCGGACCGGGACCTTTCCGTGAGTACCTCACATGTGCTGGGATGCGCAGGGCGCGCGCTCTCTCAGCTCATATGTTTTTTGTTACATGAACGCAAATGTGCGGCCACTCTGTGTCTAGGCCCAGACGCCAGGAGGTCACACATTTGCGTGCGGCTGGCATGAAGGGGTTAACCAGCTTCTGATTCTAAAGCCTGTAAGCTTTCCTTGAAACAATAATCTTACACAGCATAGCTATGTTACTTCAAACATTTTCAACATTGGTAACCAGTGAACTTTAAAAAGAGCCCTTTTCCAACAGTATAAATATTCATGTTATCAGTAGAGACCGTGGAGTACTAATGCATTGCTTCAAATAAGCGTCAAATGTACAGTACAAGTAAATGAAGTATCGCATCTTGCTGGGTAAATGTTTCATGCAACTGACACTGCACAGTGTGTCACAACCACAGTGGCTTCCATTAAAACTGGACAAATTATGGTCTGTTGGACATTGGATGACATTGCTTTTCAGCTGTCAGAAAAATTATTTTGAAATTAAAATTGTTTCCATGGAAACCAAAACTATTTCCTACTTGAAGTGTACCTGGTTGTCATACAGTACTCATACAATGAATACAAAAAAGGAAATTCGTCTGGAACAACTTTCAGCCCTTAACAAATAAAGCAGAAATTTGTAGCAAACAAACAGGAAACCTTTGTATAGATCCGACTTCAAAAGCTAAAATCCGGTGGCAGATCCAATAATAGTCAGTTGGTCAGGTCAAAGTGTTTTGACATTGCACCAACGGCTTTAGGTCCAAACAAAAGGGTATTTTAACTTACATGGAAATCTCAGCATCTGTAAAGTGTTAGCAGTTTATTCAGACATTTATATTTTTATTTTTTTCCAAAATAAATTAGATTTTTAGTGGATCAGGACTCTAGACAAACAGCAAATTGTTAGTATTTCAATAATACGGTCCTCATATCTTACTGTTATAGATGGTAGGATGATCTATGTTTATACTTCAACAACCTTCTCATTCTGAAATCATGGTATTTGCACTCACCCATAGTGATTATAGGAAAAAAATGGCTGCCGAAGTTTTACTTTCTTCAGCAGCGGTGTCTTGAAGGATAAGTTCACATTAAAAAAAAAAAAAAAAAGTACCGTACATTTTTTTTGCAGGTAAGTCTGTAAAGAATTGCGCCAGCAATCAGCAGCTAGCTGTCACCGTGCAGGTTTCCTTCTGTCCTGTCAGTATAACTGCTTGCTCATCCATCTGGGCAAGCAGATACTTAGGGGTTTATTTACTAAAGCTGGAGAGTCCAAAATCAGACTCCCTTCTGCATAGAAACCAATCAGCTTCTAACCTCAGCTTGTTCAATGAAGCTTTGGCAATGAAACCTGGAAGCTGATTGGTTTCTATGCAGAAGGGAGTCTGATTTTGGACTCTCCAGCTTTAGTAAATAAACTAAAAAATAAAAATATAAATGTCTGAATAAACTGCTAACACTTTACAGATGCTGAGATTTCCATGTAAGTTAAAATACCCTTTTGTTTGGACCTAAAGCCGTTGGTGCAATGTCAAAACACTTTGACCTGACCAACTGACTATTATTGGATCTGCCACCGGATTTTAGCTTTTGAAGTCGGATCTATACAAAGGTTTCCTGTTTGTTTGCTACAAATTTCTGCTTTATTTGTTAAGGGCTGAAAGTTCCCTTCTGCATAGAAACCAATCAGCTTCTAACCTCAGCTTGTTCAATGAAGCTTTGGCAATGAAACCTGGAAGCTGATTGGTTTCTATGCAGAAGGGAGTCTGATTTTGGACTCTCCAGCTTTAGTAAATAAACCCCTTAGTGACAGCAAGAATCAATGAACCACCATGGCGCTGCATAGCAAGGTGGTAGTTCATTGAGAACTACAAGCCAACGGCCTCAAAGGTTGTCAGAACTTGAAGTGTTCTCATTCACAGAACACTACGGGAGAAGATCCCACGCTAGCTATCACAACGGGGATCGGGGGGGAGCGAGGCCAGACATGTTACACCCTGAATATGGATGTAACATGTAATATATGACAAACAGTGAACTTATCTTTTAAACCACTTGCCTACCGGGCACTTTCACCCCCTTTCTGCCCAGGCCAATTTTCATCTTTCAGCGCTGATGCACTTTGAACGACAATTGCATGGTCATGCAACACTGTACCCATATGAAATTTTCAACATTTTTTTGAGACAGATAGGACTTTCTTTTGGTGGTATTTAATCACCTCTGGGTTTTTCATTTTTTGATAAACAAACCAAAAACTGCAAATTTTGAAAAAAAAAAGTTTTTTTTCTTAGTTTCTGTTATAAAATTTTGTAAATGAGTAATTTTTCTCCTTCACTGATAGGCTGCACTGATGGGCACGGATAGGCAGCACTGATGGGCAGCGATGAGGAGGCACTGGTGGGCATTGAGAGGCATCACTGGTGGGCATTCACAGATATCACTGATGGGCACTGAAAGGCAGTACTCATATATGGCACTGATAGGCAGCACTGACTGGCACTGATAGGTGGCACTGATGGGCACTGATGAGGAGGCACTGGTGGGCATTGACAGGCATCACTGGTGGGCATTCACAGACATCACTGATGGGCACTGAAAGGCAGTACTCATATATGGCACTGATAGGCAGCACTGACTGGCACTGATAGGTGGCACTGACTGGAACTGTTAGGTGGCACTGACAGGTGGCAGGATGGACACTGATAAGTGGCACTGACTGGCACTATGTGGCACTGATTGGCAGCACTTATAGGCAGCACTGACTGGCACTGATGGGTAGCACTGACTGGCACTGATAGGCACTGATAGTTCGCACTAAAAGGCAACACAGATGGGCACTGATATGTGGCATTGATTATGCACTGGTAGGCGCTGATATGTGGCATTGATGTGCACTGATGGGCACTGACAGGTGGCATTGATGGGCAATGACAGGTGGCATTGGTGGACACTGACAGATGGCACTGATGGGGCTACACTGATCATCAGGGCACTGAAGAGCACTGATGGGTGGCACTGAGGGGCACTGGCGGGAGGCACTGTTGGGCACTGGTGGGTGGCACTGCTGGGCACTGATCATCTGATGATCAGTGCCAATCTGCTCTGTGACAGTTGCCGGTTATTGGCAGTACTTTCCTCATGCTGTGACAGTGTGATGAAAGTGTAGCCAATAACCAACAATTGTATTTACTCGGTGATCTGCTGTGTCATTGGATACAATTGATCACGTGGGTAAAAGGCTCTTGTGATTGGCCTTTTACCTCAACACCTGATCAGTTGTGTCCACGGAGGTGCACGCTGCTGGGGGCGCGTTCTGAGCGGACATAATATGACACCCTCCCAGAACTGGACAACCGCGCTGTAGCCGTCATTTGGCTATAGCGCGGTTATCAAGTAGTTAAAGGGAATATTCTGTGTTCCAGTTATTATGATTCTGACCCCTCTGTGTATTAAAATGAAAGAATCTCCACTTACCCCACCCCTCAATTAAAAATCATCCATACGATTATGTGGTAGAAAAATAACCATGGTGGCTCAAGCAGCCGCTGTGGGGCATGCGGGCCGCATTAGGGAGCCACATTAGGGAAACTGTTAAGAAAATGAAACTGTTAGTATTCCAGTAGAGAAGGGCTGACGTCAGACATCAATATCATTGCGGGTCACAGTTCCCCTTGTACAGACTTGTTAGCCCTCTGAATTTCTGCTGTAGCAGGATAAGCAGTCAGCTGATTGATGGGACAGGGATGAAACTGTAACTTGCAGTTTACTAAACAGATGCAAAGTTGGAATCAATATTGCAAAACAAGGCCAAAATGGCCAAAGTGCATGCAAATACTAGAGAATAATACAAAGCAATGATGAAAGCTGCACAAACATGAACTGTTCACAGCAATGTGTCTGTAGCTCATTCAGGATAACACGTGACTGCATAGCATAGTCTCCAAAACACTATATAGGGACAGAAAGCTTAGCTGAGATTGACTTACTTCAGTAAAACAGTACAGAACACAAAGTTCCCTCTTATCCACTTCCCATCAGGCCCATGTGCATAAACGGCCGGACGGGAGCAGTGCAGGAGCGGGTGGCCGTTTATAAACATTTACTGCCTGTGTGCACTCCCTGAGAGTGCACGGCACCATGAACACTGATCGCTGTACGGGACCTCTGTGTGAGGTCCTGATCATGTGATCCCTGATTGGCCAATCAGTGCTCACATGAATAGTAGTAAGCAAGATGTCACTTCTGCCATCATTGCTTACTACTAGTGAAATCTGTGAATGATCACAGAGGTCACATGGTACAAGGCTATTCACAACCGCCTTCTACCATGTGACAAGCTGTGACCAATCACAGCTCTCACAGTATTTCTCAATGGCTGCAAGAATGCATCCAGATAGAAGGAGAAATGATTGCTTTTACATCCATAAAGGAGATAATCCTCTGCACTGTGTAAAAAGGCTGTTTGACCTGTCTTACCTGATCCTCCCCTTCCTTTGCTGTCCCCAGTCCATCTGCCATGATACAGAGTAGCAGTGGCAAGTCTGCCCATGCTTTGTTTGGTGTGTATTGCTAGGGAGTATTATTTCTTTTGGGAAAATACATGTGATCAGCAGAGAGCCTATCTGCACTGTCCAGACAGAGAGTCAGGGGTCATGCAGCCTCATAGGACAATCAGCGGAGAATGAAAACTCCTCCTACAAGATTAACCAATGCTCGGCTGGACACTGATAGAAGTCACAAGACTGCTCTAACTGCTGATGAGAAAAGGTATTTACAGTTTTTATATTTACTATAATAATTGCATTTTCATGTTGTGTGTACTGTGGGAGACCAGCTATACTCTGTTGTTGGTGGGAAGCATTTGCAGGAGTGATAACAGGATTCAGACTTAAGGAAGCTGGAGGCACTGCTTTCAAGCAAGATTAAACAACAATTTAAGAGGAATTCCAGGTATGATTATTTTATACATTGTTACATGCTAGCTTGGATCAGTGTAACTATGTATACTATGTAACTACGTAATACTGTATACCATACCTGGTCAATTCCCTTGGATCCAGGAAATCACTAAAATAGGCACGGCTACTTCAAAGATCTCCATTTGCTTTCAGGTCTTGTGCCAAGCAGCTGTCCTGCTGCATTCTGAATACATGTCAAGTAAACGTGTGTTTTGCATGGTAACAAATCGATTTTCATCCGAAAATTTGAGTTTCAGTGATGTATACAAATCTCTGAATGGACATAATAACAAATTTAAACAAATATGAAAAAAGTTAACAAAATTAACTAAAGATGCAATAGTAGTTCGTTCCTATGGGGAAATTAATTACATTTTCTAATTTTTTTAATTTGTTCTATAATTCAGAATTTAGTAAATTTGTGATTTTAAACTGAATTTGTAATGGTCAGAATTTGTAATAGTCAGTTCAGTTCCATGCATTGCATGCATATCTTAGTTTGAAAAATTCGGGGCCACCGAATTTTGCATTATTTATCCTGTTGCGTCCAAAAATATTAAATCCTTCCGAATAGTTTCAGTATATGAATATGGCAACCACGCAAAATGTAAATAATCTTCTGAAAAAATTGCGACTTTTTTTTATCTACCCAGACCAGCGAATATAAGAAACAATTGCAAATATAACGAAACAAATCCTGAAAACGAATTGGTTCAACGTAGCGAATATGACAAAACTAAATAAAAAGTTCTGGAGTACACATGTCTAATGTCAATCACTCGACATGGGCACCATTCTAAGCATAACATCACTGTCCTACCTCTCCAACTCATCCAATCAGAGAATGCTTTGCATTCATTCAGAAAATGTAAAGCATTCTCTGAACAGCATATGTACCAAGTGGCTGACCGCAAGTATTCAAAATGCATCAGACCAGCAGTTTAATATGGGAGCAAGTAAAGATCATTGTAGTAAAAGTATCTACTTCAGTGAATTCCAGCTTCCATCATATATATATATATATATATATATATATATATATATATATATCATACCTATCATATAATATGTATGATAGGTGTGATATATACATAGTTACATTGGTCCAGGCTGGGTCAGTGTGATTATATATAAAATATCCAGACTGAGCAATGGGTGAAGACTAGAGCAAAATCCTTTCCAATACTGCTTCTTTTGAAGTAATAAAGATGCTTGTGTGAATACTCCAAGATCTGTGTGCTTTATACATTGCTTGATGAACTAAAGTATGACCAGTCATGCCCATTGTTTGCTATAGTGAATCATAGCTCCCAAATTGTCGTGCTTTGATTTCGATTTTGTGGTAGTGGTGATAATTAACATAATAATGACCAGCAATATGAATTATTATGACTTATTAGTAAAATGGGCTTCCATATGCAATTATGACACAGGACTTCTCCCGAGCCTCTCCCATCCTATAGAATTCCCTACCCAAATCTGTCCGACTATCTCTCACTCTGTCCACTTTTAGGCAATCTCTAAAAACTTTTCTCTTCAGAGAAGCCTATCCTGCCTCCACCTAACAACTGTACATGTAATTTCTCCATCAGCTCATCTCCCACAGTCATTACCATATGTATCACTTGACCCTCCCCTTTTAGATTGTAAGCTCTAACGATCAGGGCCCTCTGATTCCTCCTGTATTCAACTGTATTGTAACTGTACTGTTTGCCCTCACGTTGTAAAGTGCTGCACAAACTGCTGGACCTTCATAAATCCTGTATAATATATTCATATAATAAAAACACAGTGCCTCCAGCCGTTGTAGTAAAATAACTTAATGGATAATATTCACCTTAATAAATTATACCACCACAATATAACTCTCTTGAGTCCTTTTACCAATGTGATTTTTTTTACCAGATATACAAATATCTCCAATTTGATTATTAAATTAAAATAATGTATTGATATGCAATAATATTTATCTTTTATATTTTAATACAAAACTAATTTACTGGTGATTTGTATTTCATACACACGATCAAAGGAATTACCCACAATTGAAGGCAATAAATAAATATATACTCTAGAAAAACAAAAATAACAAAAACTCTAATTGATCAAAGATTAGAAAAATACTCTATTTCAATATTTGGTGCAGTTCCCCAAATTCCGAGGCCGAAGGAAGGGAGGAGACTACTTCTGATATAAAACAAATTGAAACACAATTCAAATGCGTCCTTAAAGGTGATAAATGATGCAGCATATTAATAGAGAAAAAAAAAACCTCTAGTTTCTACTGACAATAACAACCCTCAACAGATTAGCACCCAATCTCACTAACAATACACTGGTTGGAAAGTTCTAGTAATGATTTTGGTATAAAGAAAAGTTTGTTATGATACTTTGGTCAGATCTCACCACCCAGGTATAGCATTGTGGATATTTAGCAAGGATCACGTCCCTCTCATGCGGCAATGTTTCCTCAGGTGTGCACAAGACGAGTCCTTCAACTTTATCAGCAAGAAGGATTTTTTTCTTCAGTGTGTAAGCCAGCAAGTCTTTTTCTTTGGCCAAAATAGTTTTTTTAGCAAGGAAGTCTTTTTAGCAGGAAAGTCCTCCTTTAGCAAGAAGGTCCTTTTTTTAGCAAGAAGGTCTCTTCAGAGGGAAAGTTTTTTTTTAGCAAGAAAGTCTCTACTCCCTTTTTCTCTGTTCAGTTTTTCTCTCTTTTAATCCTGTTTGGGCCTTGTCTGTTGAGTCCACCCACAGTAAGCCCGGGTTCACATATATGCAGTGCGGTATATCGCATGTGATTCTCACAGGAACCGCACTGTATTTCTGTGCAAATCACATGCGATTTGTGTGCGGTGCGATCGGAGCCATACATTTTGAATGGCTCTAATCGCACCGCACCAAAAAGGTGCATAACCCTTTTTGGGGTCCGCACTAGAATCGGATCGCATGGGTCCAATATGCGATCCAATTCTGCACATCGCAACACATTTTGCGGACCGCTTTTGGGATGTTGTTAACTTAACCTGCAGCGGTTCGCATAAACGGGTTACGATTCTGATGCGGTGCGGAATTCTCACAGAAAATGCAGAAAATGCTGCAAATTCCACACTGCATCAGGGCTAAATGTTGACTGTCTTTCGGATTGGATAAAAAATATGTTATTTGTTTTAGATGTTCCTTTACCTGGCCACTAGAGAACAAAACAGTCACGTCTCATGAATGGTAATCTGACTTACCTGCAAGGGTTGATTTATGTGAAATTTAATTTATGTTGCATTAAAGAACTACATGTTATATCAACATTGTCTTAACAGACATTCTTCCTTGATAAAGTACCTGCTACGTTGGCTTTAACACTGGGAAACTTCCTTATTAGCTGGGAATTGGACTTTTGTGATTATAAATCATTATGAAGATATCTATCCAAAAAGAATTTTCCCATAATTCATCATAGCACTTTATTAAATGATGCAGATGCACTACTTCAATCCGTCATACAACATTCTTCATGTCTTTTTGCAATCTGTTATGTGGAAATGTATTATTAGCAAACCATTTCATTTTTTTATGATTCAAAGTGTCCACCCCAGAATTACCATCCATAGTGTTGGATGGTTTAAACCTAGCCTATAACCTCAACCCTCGACTCTAACCCTAATTATAGTCTAACCCCTTTACCTAATATTTGACACTTAACTTCCAAATATGGGGATTTTCCTTACCGAGCAAAGAAATATTGTGTGCAGATAGATCTCAATATCTGAGAAGAAACTTTAACACCAAAAAAGAAAATGCTGTAAGGCTAAATGGTTGCTGTAAGTTTTCTTTATTCCAGATAAGTATAGTCATGAGAGAGCATGACTGTCAGCATGAAAGAGCAAGACATTTTGGCCACATGGGGCTCTTCTAAATGCTTTTCTCCTGGAAGGAGTAAAAGCAGCATTAAAAATGAACCTACGCCAGATTTTTGCAAATGTGTACAGGCGCATCAAGTGCTTAAGTGTTTATTCATTTAATTGGCCAGAATATTATTTTATTCTGGCCATTGAAATTAATGAAAGCTCTTGCACCCAGGCATGTTTAGAAACATTTACACGTGTTTAGGCACATTCTGGCATTTTTTCAGCCAAAACGCTCCTCTTGTGAATGTAAAAGTGTTTGTTTTGTTTTTTTTTCTACCAATAATGGCTCCTGCCTCTAAACTCCTCTAAATACCTATGTACCTAAAGAGGGGTCTTTAGGAAGGAAACAAAAGTCAAAAACCTGCAAAACAGGTGTTTTTAAGCTGAAGTGTGCATGAGGCCTCAGAGTACAAAATCATGTGATAAGAAATTTCAGTCCATCCTAGAATTTAATAACGAAGCATGCAGAGTTCATAGGATTCATAGATTACCTAAAACTCAGATTAGGGTATATTGATCTGCTTCTTTTTTTTCTTACTTGAACACTCTTGCGGTGCTTCCTGCATAGGTGCAGAGGTGTAGCTGTTTACAGATTTATCTTCATGCTTGGATTGGTCCTTTAATAAATAACCCTCTTCATTACTGAAGAGTGTAAACCCATCTGCAGTGATCTCTATCCATACATGATAAAAAAAAAAGATAAATGGCTATGTTTGAAGTTATCAACACACATCCCAGAATGTGATTTAAACCTTGCTGCTATCTATAACTTAATAATTTGTAGCTCTTGTCCTTTTTAAAAAAAAAAAAAATCAGAAGATAGAGTCTTATGTTATAATTACCATTCCACCTATTGTTCTTCATCAGAAAGGATTTGTATTTCCCCATCATTATAATTAGACAACAATGGAAAATAGCTTAACGGTCTCTGCTCAGCGATTCTTCACCAAATAATATATGTACACAAAAAAGGAGCATAACGCCATTGTTTTCTGCTCTCTGAAAATAAAATAGGACACAGCAAAATCACTGGGGTTCTCATTACAGATTCAGGAATTCTATTTAGAGACATACAGAACATTATATAGAACTGTATCAGTTTATTTTATTCTAATGCTCTAAATGGTATTTTTTTCCCCACTGGAACTGATATGAGAACAATAGAAAATAATTTAGATTTTCCACGGTTGTATTTTTTTTTCCAGCAGCCAGAGCACTGAAGGACATTATGAGTTGAATTGTTATATGTTTGAACTATATCTGAACTCCTTCTCATTTTGACTTTGTTATTCTTATTGTACCAAGAAGACTAAAAAAAAATATCCTTAGTACAGCAACCAATAACCTTAACATGAATTACTACAATTTTCTGTGCAGTTGAATGAACAGTATTTGTTATCTATGACAATGAGGACCTTCAGCCTTGTGTATCATCCTGTATAATTTCTGTTCAATACTGATTTCTCTGCATGTTTGTATAGTACTTGCAGCATACATTCTGTTGACTGTCAATAAACTGCTAAAAATATTTGTATAAAGGTGAAATAAATAGGTATGCAATGCTCACATTGAGTTTTAATTGGTACAATCTTCTGCTATTACTCTTTATTTCTACTGAAGAAAAAAAATCTAAGTTGTCAATTTATTCATGTGCTCTTTTCTAAAGCCATCTACAATAATTATGCCCATGGTGTAATGACATTTTAATGCCTGTCTGCCCAATCGTGATTATGTTCTGCAGTGTCTCCACAGACTTTGGAAGCACTCATTGTGCATACTGGGGTATACATAACATTTTGTTTGTGGCTGTACCACCTAAGTACGCATAAATGAATAATTTGTCCCATGCTCAGATAACAAATGGTAAATACCATTTAGACTTCATTCATAATATTATAGGGTTTTGTTGGTAAACAACATTATACAGGAAAATGGCAATTGTTATATACAGTTGTGCTCAAAAGTTTGCATACCCTGGCAGAAATTGTGAAATTTTGGCATTGATATTGAAAATATGACTGATCATGCCAAAAAGTGGTCTTTTATTTAACCACTTCAAGTCCGGAAACTTTCACCCCCTTCCTGCCCAGGCCAAATTTCAGCTTTCAGTGCTATCACACTTTGAATGAAAATAGCACAGTCATGCAACACTACCCATATTATTTTTTAGCAATTTTTTGAGACAGATTAAACTTTATTTTGGTGGTATTTATTCACCACTGGGGTTTTTATTTTTTTGCTATATAAATGAAAAAGTCCAAACATTTTGAAAAAAAGTGTTTTTCTTATAACATTTTGCAAATAATCTTTCTTCATAAATCTTGGCCAAAATGTATTCGGCTATCTTTTTAGTAAAAAAAAAAAATAACCCAAATTAGTTTATAACCAAAAATTATAATTTTTTAAAAAAAATTTTTACATTTTTATTTTTTTTTTATATTATTATTTATGGGGTTTTTTTTTAACATACTGTCACCCTAGCAGTACAGTGTCACCATAGTGGCACTGTACTACTTGTGGAGGGTGATGAAGATTTTTTTTTTCCTTTTTTACACTGATTGCTTTTTCACCCATAAAGGCTGTAAAAGCAATCATTTCTATTTCTCTCTGGCTGCATTCTTGCAGAAATACTCTGAGAGCTGTGATTGGTCACAGCTTGTCACATGGTACAAGGCTGTTGTGAATAGCCTTCTACCATGTGACCTCTGTGATCATTCACAGATTTCACAAGTAGTAAGCAATGATGTCAGGAAGTGGCATCTTGTTTACTACTGCTCATGTGATCACTGATTGGCCAATCAGTGATCACATGATTCGGGACCTCACACAGAGGTACAGCGATCAGTGTTCCACTGTGTTCAGAGGACACAGCGGGCACAGGATCGTGGTGCCGCTCACTCCCAGGGAGCGCACACAGGCAGTGAATGCGGGGGCCATTTAGAAACATCAACTCGCTTCGGCACTGCTCCCATCTAGCCGTTTATAGACATAGGCAGGGCGGGAAGTGGTTAAGGATAGTGATCATATGAAGCCATTTACTATCACATAGTTGTTTGGCTCCTTTCAAAATCATAACGATAACAGAAATAGGGTTGCCACCTCATCCCTTTAAAACCGAACACATATTAATTAAACAGCTTCTGAGAAAAATGTATTGCAGGTAAGGCACCTAGTGAGTTTAATTACCACCTTAATCCACCAAAGAACCTGTGTAATCAATATGTGTTCGGTTTTAAAGGGATGAGGTGGCAACCCTAAACAGAAATCATCCAAATGTCCCTGATCATAAGTTTACATACCCTGGAATGTTTGGCCTTGGTTCAAGCACACAAGATGACACTCACAGGTTAAAATGGCAATTAAAGGTCCATTTACAACATCTGTGGCATTTTAAATTGCAATTAGTGTCTGTGCTCTGGATTCTTATGTAGTTGGTATTAGGCTAATTATTTAGTTATTATTAAATAATTACCTTATTTAGTATCTCTGTATTAGGTTAATTATGATATTGGGTAATGCTAGAGAAGGTAGTGTACTATTTGCATTTTGATAATCTGTGTTTATGATTTATTCTATGTTGTATTTTAATAGTATGGATGGTTTATTAGAGTATAGTTTTAATGTATGTTTATTGCTGTTATTGGTGATTTTTTTCAATGTGGCTGTATCTTAATAATTTCCCTTTGGGATTAATAAAAAAATTCTGATTCTGATCCTGATAAATAGTCAGTGAATTTGTTATCTCTCACATGGATGCACAGAGCAGGCTAGATGCTGAGCCATGGGGAGCAGAAAAGAACTTTCAAAAGACCTGCGTAACATGGTAATGGAACTTTAAAAGGATGGAAAAGAATATAAAAAGATAACCAAAGCCTTAAATATGCCAGACAGTACTGTTCAATCAGTTATTATTAAGTGAAAAATTTGGGGATCTCTTGATACCAAGCCAAGGTCAGGTAGACCAAGAAAGATTGCAGCCACAACTGCCAGAAGAATTGTTCAGGATACAAAGAAAAACTCACAGGTAACCTCAGGAGAAATACAGTACAGGCTGCTCTGGAAAGAGACAAAAGTAGCATAATACAAGGATACTTGATCAAAATGAGCTGCATGGTCGAGTTGTCGGAAAGAAGCTTTTACTGCGCCAATTCCACAAAAAAGCCCAGTTACAATATGCCCGACAACACCTTGACAGTCCTCAAAGCTTCTGGCACACAGTAATCTGGAGTGACAAGACCAAAATAGAACTTTTTGTGGTCACAACCATAAGCACTGTGTTTGGAAAACGGGTCAACAAGGCCTATAGGGACAAAAATACCATCCCCACTGTGAAGCATGGTTATGGCTCACTGATGTTTTAGGGGTGTATGAGCTCTAAAGGCATGGGGAACCTTGTGAAAATTGATGGAAAGATGAATGCAACACATTATCAAAAATTACTGGAAGGCAATTTGAATTTCTCTACACAAAAGCTGTGCGTGAGACGCTCTTGGACTTTCCAGCACAACAATAACCCTAAGTACAAGGCCAATTTAGCCTCCAATGGTTACAGCAGAAAAAGTTGAAGGGTCTGAAGTGGCCATCACAGTCTCCTGACCTTAATATCATCAAGCCACTATGGGGAGATCTCAAACGTGCAGTTCATGCAAGACCACCAAAGACTTTGCATGACCTGGAGGCATTTGGCCAACACAAATAGACAGCTATACTACCTGCAAGAATTTGAGGCCTCATAGACAACTATTAAAAAAGATTGCAAAGACAGTAATTAATGCTAAAGGTTGAAAATACACAGTAGTAAGAACTGAGCTGCTGTTCACATTTTGCTTTTTGAATCACATCCAATTCGCATGAAATGTGAACCTGCAGCCTCTTCAGTGGAGCTGGTTCTCATAGGTGTGAGCCTGCCACAGCATGTTTTCAAAAAGGTGCGATTTTGATCCTGGTTCAGGTGCGATTTCCAAAGTCATAAACTTTGGCAATTTGTGCCTGAATCACACCTGAACTGCTAAACAAAGTTGCACCAGAGGGAGCTGAAATCATGCTGTCAAAACTGGCCCACACATATGTGAACACAGGCTAAGGGTATGCAGACTTCTGAACAGAGGTCATTTAATTTGTTTACTTGTTGCCATGTTGAGTTTTATGATTGTGCCATTCTGTTATGACCTACAGTTGAATATGAATCCCATAAGAAATAAAAGAAATGTGTTTTGCTGATCCCTCATGTATTCTTTAAAAATGGTATATAGTGCATATTACCAATTCTCCAAGGGTATGCATACTTTTGAGTACAACTGTATAGAAAACTACACAGGATATTGTAACTCAGTATTCATTCTGTTCGTATAAACACAATACGTAATTCTTTTACCTCATACCTATGAAAGAATTAAATTGATTCTAAAGGTTTTTTTTTTTTTGTAAAATAACAAACATGCTATACTTACCTACTGTATGTAATGGTTTTGCACAGAGCAGCCTGGATCCTCCTCTCCTCGGGTCCCCCGCAGACTTTCCTGGCTCCTCCTGCCTGTTGGGTGCCCCTAAGCAGCTTGCTATGGGGGCACCCGCTGCTCCTTGTATCCATTCACACAAGGAGCCATGGCTTGGCCCCACCCCCTCTCTCTCCTCTCCTGCAAATAGTACACTACCTTCTCTAGCATTACCCAATATCATAATTAACCTGACAGGCTGTGACTGACAGCAGTGGAAGCCAATGGCTCCCATTTGCTGTCTCAGCCAATGAGAAGGCAGAGACCTGGGACAGCTGAGGCTGTCATTCACATCGCTGGATCATGATGAGGCTCAGGTAAGTATTGAGGGGGCTGGGAGATCTGCTGCACACAGAAGGTTTTTACCTTCATGCATAGAATGCATGAAGATAAAAATCCTTTACCCTTTACAACCACTTTAAGCAGCTTGGTTTCAGCTAAACTAGGCAAAAGAAGCAGATGATTTTGGAACTAATATGACAATCTCCCAGAGTATTACATCAAGAATTGCCCAGACCTTAGTCCCTTTTGCATCCTCAAGCCCTGATGAAGGAGCCCCATGAGACCCCAAAATGTGTCGGTCTTTTTTAATGCATCAACAAATAAAATTCATCTGTACAAATACTTTTGGATTGGTGCTCTCTCCCCCATTTTCCTACCACATTATTACAAGGACCTAGTTATAGCTCCTGTACCTTAGAGGGCTGTCAGTGGAATCATTCACAAAGCAGTAACCTGCCCAACCAGGAGCTTATTAACCACTTTAACTCTGCCCTATAGCAGGATTACTGCTACAGGGCGACTCCCTACAATTCTATACTTTGTTAAAATACAGCTAAAGGCTCTCATATGGCAGCCTAGACTAGTACCAATTTACATGTGATGAACAAGCATCTAAAGTGAACAAACAACTTCCTTTACCTTTCCTGACTGAGTCAAATCCTTCTTCATTTGTGTCTCACTTGCTCCCCCTTCCCAGACACTGCAGCTTACAGTGGGAGGTTTTCGACAGAAGAGGCCATATGGCCAGTACAAAAAGCAGTGGGCAGGACTAGGCATGGTCAAGTGCTGTTTGACAAGCTACATTCTTGTAGATTTAGAAGTGACATGCTGATAGCTGCACCCACTACAACATTATTTCATCCCACTGTTGTGCAAGCAGACACAGCTTACATGAGAGTGGCAAGAGCTGTAGTGGATTGTGATAGACAGTCCACGTTGTATTAGATGATCAGTAAAATGACAATTTTATAGTCTTGCTACTTTATGCTTCTTGCTCTTTAAAAAACAAATTCCTTACTCTCTTAAGTAAACAATCAGATATAGGTTGACAGAACAATGATGATAATTAAGATGGCGCCTTCATCCGGAGTCTCACCCTTGGTGACTCATTAGGAGAAAAGTATCTTTTAATGTAAACAACCCCCATAAAAGGGAATGAGTCTCTTTGGGGACAATGATTGGAAGATATCACAGGAAACCTTATTAGGTAGACTTCACAACATCTGTATCTGTGAGACTTTGTAGCAGAAATAAGAGAAAACAGTAATGGAAGGTCATAGTTTATATTTAAACCTGAACTCTAGGAAGATATAAAAGACAAACATTTTTGCAGTTCTATAATCATTAAGGGCTAACAAACACTTTTACTCTGGGGTGATCACGGTATTGGGTGCATTATCATTGTGCTTTTGCATACTGTGGCAACATGCATTTTAAATGGCATCCCACTACATCAAGGCAACACAGGCTCCACAAAAATGCATTGGAGCACAACATAATGTGCCATAATGTACTATTATGCATTGTAGGGTGCTGAATCAGAAAAAATGCATCATGATGTTTTTGGTTCATTGTTGTGTAGTGTCAATTGATTAAAAAAAAATAGGCTTCCTTAACCACTTGCCCTCCAGAAGATTTACCCCCCTTCATGACCAGGCTATTTTTTGCTGCTCCGCACTGCGCTATTTCAACTGGTAATTGCGCAGTCATGTAATGCTGTATCAAAAACAAAATTTATGTCCTTTTTCACACAAATAGAGCTTTCTTTTGGTGGTATTTGACCACCTCTGCGGTTTTTACTTTTTGCGCTATAAACAAAAAAAGATCGAAAATGTAAAAAAAAAAATGATATTTTTCACTTTTTGATTATAAAAAGTATCCAATAAACTCAAAGTCAGTCATAAATTTGGGCTAAAATTTATTCTTCTACATGTCTTTGGCAATAAAAATCTCAAT